AGAGGAGGAGGAGGAGGAGGAGGAGGAGGAGGAGGAGGAGGAGGAGGAGGAAGAAGAAAGCAAAATGGAATCAAACTTGCAGGAAACCTAACCAACCAGTGACACCAAAGATTCTCCAAGATATCAAGCAACATATAGATCTGAAACCAGCAATATTCTTATTGGGTGACTAAGGGAAAGGAAACAGAGGTCAAAGAAGGATGCAACGGAGAAGAAGAGCAACAGGCTATCTCGACCATAGTTGCAAGACTGAGTAACAAAGAGTTGGTGATTTATTTATTTTTTCATCAGTGCAGAAGAAACAGAGTGAGCAAACAACCTTCTATTTTTTAAAAAGAAGGCAAGTCTTGATTACTAACACAGACCAGGAGGAGAAAAAAAGGGCTCCGGGCTTAATTATAAATTTGTTACTCATCCTTCACTGCTACTCCGCTGATTGCATTCTTTTTGCCTTCTCTCTGAGGAATTTGTCATTCCTTTCTAGATATTAATCATGCTCTCTGAAGAGGCTCCCAATGTATATTTGTAGGAATTGTCAGCACATATGAGTGCACTTACATGCCCACTGTGCCTCTCTTCCCCCATCCCACCCTTGCCCAGGTCGGTAACTTGAGGCTGACCTTCAGCTCCTCGGGGACTCCAGTGGCCAGATGGGTCGCATGGCATCGGAGAAGAAGCACTGGAAGCATATTGCACCAGAATCCGTTCTTCCCCACACAGCTCACATGATGATCCCACTTCTCTAGGTGGCCAGGAAGTAAAAGAAGGAAATGCTCCAACTTAGTAACAGTTGAAAGGAACGTTCATTCATTCATTCATTCATTCATTCATTCATTCATTCATTCCTCCCTCCGAGTCCTTCCTTCTTCCCTCCAAGTCTTTTCTCCCACTCTCCCTCCCTTCCTTTCTCCCCTCCCTTCCTTCCTCTCTTTCCCCTCTTCCTCCTTCCCTCCCTCAAAGTCTTTCCTTCTTTCCTCCCTCCCTTTCTTTCTCCCTTCCTTCCCCAGAACAACAAAAAACAGATAAGATGGCTTGCTGTTCCAATGGTTTACTTAATTATGATTCATTGAGATTTGGGATACTATACACTAAGCTATATCCTCGGTCCACCATTCACACCATAGATTAACCTCCAACCCACCAACAGCATCACACGAACCCCATCGCTAACTGGGTCTGCCCCGTGAGAGGTCTAATCTTTTAGATAGGACTTCTTCTTCTTCTTGAAGTAAATTGGATCCCAATCACCAACACATCTCCCCCCAACTCCAACTCTGCTGGCAAGTGTAGGGAGGTTGAATTATACTCCACATGAACTATGACTAAAGGCAGCTAACCAATTTGCTCAGCCATGTAAACAGCTTCCTCGGTGAAGAATGTGTTTGGGGCCATTCAATGAATCACATTCTAAACCGGGGCTCATCGTGCCGATAATCAGCTTCGGAGACAAAACATTGCTCTTGCTACTCAGGTTTCCACCTCCCTCTCCCTGAGAGAGATGGAAATCAGGATTGAAAAATGAAAGCCCTGTCAACCTCCGGCCCAACCATCTCCTTGAATCAGAAAATCTGTAGTATGCGAGCTATTTCCTTGGAAGAAGAAAGGAGGAGGAGGAGGAGGAGGAGGAGGAGGAGGAGGAGGAGGACGAGGACGAGGAGGAGGAGGAGGGGGAGGAGGAGGAGGAGGAGGAGGAGGAGGAAGAAGAAGAAGGAGAAGGAGAAGGAGAAGGAGAAGGAGAAGGAGAAGGAGAAGGAGAAGAAGAAGAAGAAGAAGAAGAAGAAACAACAACAACAACTTTCTTGGATAACAAATGGGAAGGGGGTGTTGAGATAAACTAGGCATCTACCCTCACTCCACTTCTGGAGAAGGAGAAGGAGGAGAAGGAGAAGGAGAAGGAGAAGAAAGAGATCAAGAGACGATAGACATGAATATTGCTGCTCTGTCTGTTGGAAAGCATTTTGGGGTGATGCACCTCAACTTGTTGCTGTTGCTTTTTTAAATCTCCAGGGGGACTCTTCACTGAAGGATTGGGGGTGACACGACAGCAGCTTTCCAATATCTATGGGGCTGCTGCAAAGAAGAGGGGGTGGGCCTATTCTCCAAAGCACCAGAAGGCAGGACAAGAAGCAACGGATGGAAACTAGCAAAGGAGAGAAGCAACCTAGAACTAAGGAGGAATTTCCTGACAATAAGAACAGTCAACCTTTGAAACAACTTGACTCCAGAAGTTGTGGGTGTTCATCCAAATTTGCTCCATGGTATATTTACATATTTACATATTCCCTCATTCTTTTCCTAATTGCCATTTGATTTTCTTTTTAGAAAATGGTTTAGAAACCAAAAGAAAATGAAAACCAAATTTGTAATGTATATCCGTTGCCACCTGAGATGAAGACTAAATTTGCAAGAACGAACAAAAAGTCTGACTATAGTTTCAAAAATATTATTTTTAAGCAATTCCCTTCCTTCAGTCTTTGGGGGGTGGGTGGAGATTTATTTATCCAAGATTAGGAGAGAGAAAAAAACCTCACAAAATGATGCAGGAGAATGTATCCTCCAGGTCATACCTCCTCGACAAAAAAAAATGAAACCTCCCAATGGAAGGGTCTGTAAAATAAAACTTGAGTGTTGATTTAAGGTTTTTTGTTATGAAATCTTAGATCAAGCTGGCCAGCAACTGGATGTCATTTAAGTATCCATTTGCCGTGGCTTAATAAAAACAAGACTGAAGGCGGCTCCTTGAGGACTGGTGTCTTTCATTACACAATAATTAGCCTTCGATCAGCATGCCTCTTAATATTAGACAGACTGAATTTATTTCATGTACAATCGCCACCTTATGAAATATAAATTGAATGCACATTGCATGGGCCTTCATCAAGGCCCAAGGAAAGAGGAAGTTGAGAATGAAACCTAGAATGTAGGTGAGGGGTGTCTCCCCAGCCTTGTTGATTTGTCAAATGTAGACACACCGCCCATCTCACACAATCAGGCAACTTTTCTGGAGAAGGGATTGGCTGAGCTTGAATTTTCGTTCATGGATGCTTTAGAAACTTAAGTCTTTGAACTGGTTAAAATGTTAGGGAACCGTGCTGAGCATCAACCTGTCAGAGACTGGCTGAGTCTGGGGAAGGAGTTAAGCAGGGAATTAGTCTGGAATCATTATGTAGGCACAAGAAGGCAAGACCTGGTCCCTTTTGAATGCCATTTCAACTCTTCCTGTGTGGCTCTAATTGTTCACACCTAACATTAATCTTCCCAAACTAGTTGTCTACACTTGGACTAGACTGGATAAAATTCAATGGCATTCAAGGGGGATCAGACCTTACCCTCTTGTGCCCAGGTAAGGATTCCAGATTAATTCTCTGCTTGTCTCCTTCCCCAGACTCTGCCAATCTCTCTCCAATACAACCTAATTCTTTTCAATCTTTGTTCTGCAGCCAAACAGCTAGGATGCATAACATCTGTTCTTCTTTACTTGAAAACTAACTGAATAACAGAGTTGGAAGGGACCTCGGAGGTCTTCTAGTCCAACCCACTGATCAGGCAGGTGACTCTATAACATTTCAAACAGATGGTTGCTCAATCTCTTCTTAAAAACCTCCAGTGAGGGAACACCCATAGCATCTGAAGGCAACCCGTTCCACTGGTTAATTGTTCTCACTGTTAGGAAGTTTCTCCTTCGTGTTTCTGGGATAATTCTTCAGCCTCCTTCCCTTTCTGATCTTAAATTTGTTCACTTCCTTTTTTCAGCAGGCTGAGGAAATTTTCTCCTATGACACTCAAGTCAGGTAGGCCCTGCCCCCTAAGCAAATATACACCCCTCCAAAGAAAGGGAACAGCCATCCTACAACATTCAGAACTCATTCCTCTCGTATCATTGACACCTTTCTGAGCCTGCCTTCCAAAATACGCACGTCATCCCACCCATTCACCTTTCAAAGAAGTGCCGGTCGATTGGTGGAAACCACTCCAGAGTAACGGAAGTTTCTGTTCGGTCCACAATCTGAGGTGTGATGGCAATGGGGGCTGGCTTCTTGATATGTTGCCAGCTTTGATACACTAGATCTAGGTAGCAATGCATACGGGCAACCTGGTTCGGAGTGAAGGAATTGGTGCAGTCGTCATCTGGAGTAGCACACATCATCAAAAAACAGGAGAGGGACACATAGAGAGAGAGTTAGGACTTAGTAAAACAGGATTTCCCAGTTTTCTATCTGAATACTACTAGCAGCTGTTGGAATTCAGCCAAAATTAAAGAGTTATATCTTAGTTGGTCTATAAAGTTCACTTCGAGCTCCTGAAGACCTGACAGGAATGTCCATGTTATAACCTATCAATACTATCTGCTTCCAAACTATTATTTTCATCTTCCCAGTCTGGACCACAGTGCTTATATCTACATCAAACATAGCTTTGGGTATGAACCTCACCATCTTCTTGAATGCAGCTTTGAGAAAGCTGTGAATCCAAATATTGTGTGACACTATCTAAAGCCAACCTTGGCAACTTTAAGACTGGCATGTTTCAACTCCCAGAATTCCCCAGATAGCACAGGGGATTTCTGGGAGTTGAGGTTCACAGGCCTTCGAGTTGCCAAAGTTGGATACCTCCAAAGATCTAAAGCCCACAATCAGCCAAGTATCCCAGAAAATAGCACTTACCTGCGTAGCTCATAAAGTTGTTGAATGGTGTATTCTGGAAGTTACGGAGCCCACACATGTTACTATTAGCAGGGGGGTCGCCACAGACTTTGTGGGTTGGGGTAGGATTGGTGTCGTGGCAAAGATCCCCCGTCTCGAAGGATGGTTCCGTTTCCATGCATGGGTCGCTGCAGGAGAAGATCTCAGACACCCCCTTAAAGACGTGGTAGAGTCCAAGGCTGTGCCCGACTTCATGGATCATGGTGTGGGTGTGCCCCACAATGCCATAGAAGGAAGGGTTCAGCACGATGCCTCCTGCATGGACAAGAAGGAGGAAGGGACGTTGCTTCGTGCTTCAGAAACATTGTGGAACCAAAGAAGACACAGATACAAGACTTGTGTGGTGCCATGGGCACAGGCCTACCAACAGCATTTGCAACAAACTTCAAGCTCAACATCTTAGCCACTGAGCCACGGTGTTTGTTTGCTTGTATCTTGTCTTTATTATTTTTTATAACTAACTTAAAGCTTATACTTCTTCCTCTTCCTATTTTCCCCACAATAACAACCCAGTTGAGGTGAATTGAGCTGAGAGAGAGTGACTGGCCCAAGGTCACCCAACCAGCTTTCATGGCTAAAGCAGGACTAGAACTCACTGACTCCTGGTGATTGGCCCAAAGTCCCCCAGCCAGCTTTCATGGCTAAGGCAGGACTAGGACTCACTGACCACTGATTATTGGCCCAAAATCACCCAGTTATCTTTCATGCCTAAGGCAGGACTAGAACTCACCATCTCCTGGTGATTGGCCAAACATCACCCATCCAGCTTTCACGGCTAAGGCAAAACTAGAACTCACTGACTCCTGGTGATTGACCCAAAGTCATCTAGCAGGCATTCATGGCTAAGGCGGGACTAGAACTCACCATCTACTGATTTCTAGTCTGCCACCTTCACCCCTAGACCAAACTGAACCGAATTCTTGGGAGACCATCTCTTGGGAATATAATACTCCCAAGCAATTGTATGAGAAACCAAACAGAATCCCCGTGTATTGTTTTTGCAACAGAATCACCCCAAAGCACCATTCGTCTTGTCTTTCCCAGTTTTTGTTTTCTTCTTCTTTCATTTGAGGCTTTGGGGTTTGGTTTTCTTTTGTTTATGTTTCTCTTTCTTTCCGATGGTTGGAGATATTGAGGAAGGAAGAAGAAAAGGAAAAAAACAATCTCCCTGAATGGAGAAGATAAACATCACAGTACAGAGGCTGGCACAACTTTATCAGGGCTGTGTAGCAGGTTGTTAGATTCTTCTGTCTGTTTGAGGGAGAAGGGTTGGGGGTTTTTGGGGGGAGGGGGAGAGAAGAGGAAAGGAACTATATTTTTCACCGCTGTCAAAGGTCTAAATCAATTACCCCCTTTTTTTTTTCATTTAAAAGCAAAAGAGGGAGATCGTGGGGGCTCTGTTATTGTTGTTGTGCCCCGATGATAATGTATTCCAAAGTTAAGATCTGGACAACTGAACATATTTCATTTTATTTTCTTATTAAACAGATATTGGATTTGGGGAACGGGTGGGGGAAACAAATACGGAGAGGCGGGACAGGGTTTTTCTGAGCGAGAAGGGGGCAGAGAAGGTGTCTAAACAGGAAATTAATTCTCTCTGTTCTTAGAGGGTTTTTTTTTTTTCCAGCCCTCCCTCTTTCCTTGGGAGCTGACTTCAAATTGATGGCACAATAATTAGAACTGGTGCTCTCACAGGTAAATTCAGTGACTCTCCCTTTGAACAACAATTAATGGAAGGGAAGGGAGTGGAAGGGAAGGGAAGGGAGTGAGAGTGGGGTGGAGTGGAGTGGAGTGGAAAGGAAGGGAAAGGAAAGGAGTAGAACAGAGTGGAGTGGAATGGAATGGAACATAGCAGAACAAAACAACAATATAGAATAGAATAGAGAATTGGGATGGGATATAATAGAGTTGGGAATAGGGAATAAGGGATAGGATGGGATTTGATGGCATGGGATGGGATGGAGTAGAGTAGAGTAGAGTAGGGTAGGGTAGTGTAGGGTAAGGTAGGGTAGGGTAGAGTAGAGTAAAGTAGACTAGACTAGACTAGACTAGACTAGACTAGACTTGACTAGACTTGACTAGACTAGACCAGACCAGACTAGACTAGACTAGACTAGACTAGACTAGACTAGACTAGAATAGAATAGAATAGAACAGAACAGAATAGAATAGAATAGAATTCTTTATTGGTGAAGTGTGATGAGGCACACAAGGAATTTGTCTCCAGTGCAGAAGGTCTCAGTGTACATACAAACAACGAAGTGACAAATAAGACACCAATAATAGAAAGTAATAGGAAAGATGAGAAGGATAAAAGCAATACAGCCCTACTACATGGGTAAATATACTTAGAAATATGTCAGTGTTGTGGTGTTCAGGTGTTTAGCAGAGAGATGGCATGGGAGAAAAAAAACTGTGTCTAGTTGTTTTGTCATGCAATGCCCTATAGTGGCGTCCTGGGGGGGAGGAATTGAAATAGTTTATGTCCAGGATATGAAGGGTCTATAGATATTTTCTCAGCCCTCCTTCTTACTCGCACAATACACAGGTCTTTGATGGAAAGCAGGCTGGTTGCAACAGTTTTTTCTGCAGTCCTAATTATCCGTTGAAGTCTGTACCTGTCCTGTTTGGCTGCTGTACAAAACCCGACTAGTTACACATTTACAAATGACAGACTCAACAATCCCTCTGTAGAACTGTAACCTTGGGCAGCCTGAACTTTAATTAAGCCTTAAAAGGGAGGACAGGCAGCCGACAATGTCACCAAGACATCTGGATAAATCCAGCAGGAGGTGCTAGAAGAGAGCCTATGGTTAATTGGTCCAAATATCCCGTTATTGGAACTGAAATGTTCTGTTCCTCTTTGGCTGTAATAACAGAGTTGGAAGGGACCTTGAAGGTCTTCTAGTCGAGCCTCCTGCTTAAGCAGGAGACTCTATAGCATTCTGGACAAATGGCTGTCCAATCTCTTCTTTAAAACCTCCAGTGATGGAGCACCCACCACTTCTGAAGGCAAAGCCGTTCCACTGGTCGATTGTCCTCACTGTCACGAAATGTCTCCTTAGTTCTAGAAGTTCTTCGTTCTCCTTTCAGTCCCTCCCGTGGCTCATGTTGAAGTAGAACTTAAGTGCAAATGAAGTTGCCTTGTCAGCTTCATGCCCGAAGGGAGACTAGAACTCACCGTCTCCTGGTTTCTATCCTGGTGCCTTCACCACGACCCCAAACTGGCTCTCTACCTCTTCATTAAGTAAATGCAACGAGACGGCATTCCAGCCAATTTCCCAACCACCCATTTGACGGCCTTTCTGGCTGCATTTGCTGAGCGGATCATCGTCAGCAATGTGGTTCTTAAGTGAATCTACCTGCCCCATGGATTTCACTCATCGGAGGGTTGCACTAGGGGGTTGCAATGACCCCAGGACCCTGCAAACATCATAAAGATGAGTCGGGGGGCCAAGCATTTGAATTTTGATCCTGTGACCCTGGAAATGAAAAACGGTCCTTTCTCTGGTGCCGTTGCAACTTCAAATGGCCATTCAATGAACTGTTGTAGGTTGAGGACTGTCTAACCAACTGCACGGCCACCAGTGGTGGTATTCAAATTTCTTTATATCTGTAAGCGTGGCTGGGTGGGCGTGGCTTGGTGAGCGTGGCAGGGGAAGGATACTGCAAAATCTCCATTCCCTCCCCACCCCACTCACCTGCTTTCTAGCTCCGTTTGTCATGTTAATGGAATCATTAAAAAAAGATTGGGAGGATACAAAAAAAAAGCAACGGAGGAATATAAAAAACAGGCAGACAAACATAGATCTCTCCAACCACCTTTTAAAGCTGGGGACAATGTGTTTTTGTCAACTAAAGATCTTTAGTTGAAGCCTGCGATAAAATTTCTGGGCCGCTTCCCTGTATTGAAAGTAATCAATCCAGTGACTGTCCAACTTAGCCTCCCTTGGCTGTTGGGGAAAATGCACCCAGTATTCCATAATAACCCGTTGAAGCCTGCTGTTGGTTCCAGTCTATAACCTGTATTGCTCCCCACAAACCTCTGGTAGTACAGAGTGAAACTCATTATGAGATAAAGAAAATTCTCGATTCTCGATTAAACCGAGGACAGTTACAATCCTGTGCAACAAAAGAAGACCCAGCCGATCAGCTGGGACTCAGGAGGCAGCGAATAGATGGGGGCAGGGCCAACCAGAGGTGGCATTTACCGGTTCTCCAAACTACTCAAAATTTCCGCTACCAGTTCTCCAGAACCTGTCAGAACTGGTTGAATACCACCTCTGACCACCACCACTTACCCAAGTGTACGAGGGCTTCTTTGTCCCAAGGAAAGGTAGCCATGCCAGCCAGCTCTTCTTCAGAAGAATTGGCAAAGAAGATGTTGAGGTGTGTGGAGCCATTCAGGTTGAGCTTGTTCTTCAGTTCCTTGACATCTAAGTAGGCCCTGAAACAAGCATAAGAAAGGCTGGTTAGCAGGCTCATTTTGCTCGCCCTCATTACCTGTGTCAGGTATATCTAACGTACCTCGACTGAGGTAGTGGCTGTTGGAACTCTTTGTCTTTGCCCCATCCAATCTATCTTTAGAGGATGAGTCCAGGTTTTCAAGACATCCATTTGTCCAGGAGGGTTTAAGTTCTCCTGCCTTGGTCAAGGGGTTGGAGTAGAAGACTGGCTATATGTATGTCAATTTCAGGCTTGACACAAGATCCTTTCCAGCCCGAGGATTGTATATTTCTATGTGGACTGCCTATCTTTCCAGTGAACCCTTTCCAGGGTTCAAATCAGCCCGCTGCAAGAAGTACCGCCCTTCAAATTCCTCACCCGAATAAACAAGGAACATCTACAGCCTGATGCAATGGCTCTTTTTGCCTCCCATTAAACACCCCTTTGGGCAGAATGTCTTATGGGAAGTGAGTGTATCAAGAAAAAATGCTTTGGTGACATACAATCTTGAAACATTCCTGGAGCTGCTGGTGTACTGGATCCATCCTGGGACAACGGTGGAGAGGTTTTTCCTAACATCTGCCACTTACTCACAGGTTAACAACGAGCTGCCATGAGGAAGAACTCCCGAGTTGCTCTTCTCGTATTACTTTATTGCTAACATAGGGGTGGGGAAAACACCTGCATCCAAACGCCCTTCCTGTAACCAGGGTTCAGCGCTGACGTTTAAAAAATAAAGAAAACCCAGCAGGCTGCAAGTTGCTACGTTCATTTCTACCACCTCCTTGTTCCAAAGAACTTCCTAAAATGGGTGAGGACCATTGACCAGTGGAAACTTGTCTCCAGAAGTTGTGGGTGCTCAAGAAGAGACTGGACAGCCACCTGTCTGAAATAGCCATAGCGCTTCGACTTATATACCGCTTCACAGTGCTTTTACAGCCCCCGCCACGGCGCAGGAGGCCAACTAGGCCACGCCCACCCAGCAACGGGGCAGAGAACCTGTTGCTAAAATTTTTGAAGCCTACCCCTGCAATGTCTAAGCAGTTGATAGAGTCAGCCGGTGGCCCCCGACAATCTGGCTGGTTTTACTGCCTTCTGCTGAGTCAGACCTTTGTTCTGTCTAAGCCAGTCTTGGTAACTCAACAAAGTTTTGAGCAAGAATTGTCCCATCTGAACTCAGGCCCTTCGGTATGCAAAGTAGATGCTCAGCCACTGAGTTACACTCCCTCACCTTATAGTCATAACAAGTCACCTTAGAAGCAAATCACTAGTCTATACACCACTGGTCTCCAACGTTTGAGGGAGTCATCTTCCTCCATCCAATTTGTTAGATACCAAAAACTGAGACAAGGTTCAAAAGATGATGTCACTGCACCACAACTCCTTCCTTTAAAGTCCCGTATCTTACAGTTTCTTGGGTTTCTGCTGATCTCCATCCCTGCCTTGGCACACAATGCTATGAAGTCTTCAACCATTCCTCCCTGCTGACCAGCATGAAGGTTCTCATGGATTTTGGTAGCATAGAATTTTGCAAATTTTTGGAAGTGGGGAAACCAAAGAAACTAATTCAGTTACTTTCCATTCAATGCTTGACATTTCTCTACTGGACAGAAGAGAGAGAGGGGTCTAGAAATCCAGGTGTGATCCATCCGGATATAATTTCAAAACGGATGCCACCTGTTGTGGTTTGCTGTCAGCCTGTGGAGACAGCAGCAGAATCGGACAGCGGGGAAGAATGGGGATCAGTCAGGGAATCTGGGGAGGACTCAGACGAGGGTCCTGCATCCAATGCAAAGATGGGGCCAGGACCATCTGGGAGTGGGGTGCTGATTTTGGAGCCTCCAGAACCTGGCAGCAGCGAGGCAGAGGAACAAGGGGACCCTGTTCACAGTGCATGTATGCGCAGAGCTGCCAGAAGGCAAGAGCAGCCAAAACAAAAGGGGCGACTCAGGAGTAAGGCTGGGAGGTGATTGGCCCTCCCCTAAGTTATAAAAAGACAGGCAAAGGTGAAGAAACTTTTGCAGGAAGCAAAGTCATTTGTTCTGTTCGGATTAAATCCTGAAGTTGTGTGGATTTTGTACTTTGGTTGGTTTTTTTTATATTTAATTTGACACTTTAGTTGTTGGCAGAAATTCAAAAGAAAGAAAGGTGGGTGCTTATCTCGAGGGACTATTTGGGACTCATTACTGGCTGGGAATGAACATAATTCCCAGCATTGAAATAAAACCAGAGTTGTTTTAACTAAGCGTGTTACGGTCTCGGGGAGCCTTGGTCAGAACAGCCACCTTACAATACTTTGATCAAACATGCTGTTGGAATCCCTAATGCCAGGTTGGAATTTCATAGAGAATGGATCTTTATCCGACCCTGTAGGTCTTATTTGAATGAGATGTAGGAGAAGAAGAGGCAAGAGCCTTGAGGGATGGAGTCAAGTGGAGAATCAGTCTGGAATCCTTACATTCTCACAAATGGTCTGAGTCCGACCCTTCTTGAATTCTGTAGCCCCAATTTAGTCCTGGACATTGGTCGACTAGATTCTTGTGTATACGCATGAGCAATAAATCAGCTTCTGTGGAGCTGAAACCCTAATTTATCACGCCTGACATGAGACTCAGTGTGCAGTTGAGGGACGGTAGAGGAAGGACTAAGGGCCTAGAAAAAAAAGGAAGGAGACCTAGCGCAGTCTTCTCCATAGAGGATAACCAGGTTTATGTGGGCTGTTTAACGTGGAACGTTTTCCAAGCCAATCTGCTCCATTGTTCTGCTATGCTAGGTTCGTAGAATCCTCTTTTCTGGAATTCCATCCCCAAGGAGAAGCTACAAGAGCTGGCAAGGCACCAGAGGTTTTCAGTCCTCCCCCAAGGACTCTCCAAGAAAAAGGGGGAAGGGAGATAACCCAACCAAGCAAAGCAAGACACAATGATGTTTCCACAATACCACGATGGCTCTCTCTCACACATTTTCTCGCTAGAGCACCAGCCTTCCTCACCCTCCACCCCTCCCACCTGCTGATGAAGTCATCAAATTGGAAATAGCTCTGGGCTTGGCGTCCCCAGCCCCTCCTTTCGCTGAATCATGAAAGCTACCTCCCTAGGCACAGAACCAAGAAGGGGGGGGGGTGTTTTCCTTCCAGGCAGAGCTAGCTTCAAGGAACAGTAGCTGTCTCCTGAAGATTGCAGCTCGGCTACGGATGATCCTACTCTTGAATGTCCCCTCCGTAGGGTTTGTGGCCAAGGCCGAAGGAGACTCTGCTGCAAGTATTGAGAGTTAGTTGTCTAAGGGAGAGGTATTATTTATTAATAGCATTAGACTCAGTGGTGGGATCCAAAATTCTACAGGTTCTGCGGGCGTGATGTGGCTTGGTGGGCGTGACACGTGTGGATGTCTTCCCTCCTCCTTCTTCCAGTGTGATCTGTGAGCTGCACTTTATCTTCTCAAGGTTATTTGCATCCCATGATGGAGGATATAATGTCCGCCGCATCAGCCCAAGCCAAGTGAACCAAAGAAGCCAGACAGTCAGGAACTGCCAAAATTACATTTCAAAGCCATGAGAACAGCTCTGGAAAATGATCAAAGATGTTCTCCACTATCACTGGAACATTTCTTTGATGCACCCTTTAGAAAGGGCAAGTAGGCTTCTTTCTCTCTTTCCTTCCTTTGTTCATCCCTGCCTGCCTCCCTCCCTCCCTCCCTCCCTGTCTCTCTCCCTTCTTTTCCTTCCTTCCTTCCTTCCTTCCTCCCTCTCTCCCTTCCTCCCTTATTCCTCCCTCCCTGCCTTCTTTTCCCTCCTTCCTTCCTTCCTTCCTTCCTTTCCTCTCTCCCTTCTTTCTTTATTCCTCCCTCCCTGTCTCCCTGCCTTCTTTTCCCCCCTCCCTTCCTTCTTTCCTTCCTTTCTCCCTCCTTCCCTTCCTCCCTTATTCCTCCCTCCCTCCGTTCTTTTCCCTCCTTCCTTCCTTCTTTCCTCCCTCCCTCCCTCTCTCCCTTCCTTCCTTATTCCTCCCTCCCTGTCTCCCTCCCTTCTTTTTCGACCTTCTTTCCTTCCTTCTTTCCTCCCTCCCTTTTCTTTTTCAGCTGCTTTGTAGTAATCTCTACAGCTTTTTGTACCACATCTGACTGGATGGTGGAGAACGGAAGGATTTATATTCCTGGTAGACTGCTGGTTATTTGCATTCTTTTAGAGCGTCATTGAGGCCACTTGGAGGTTTACCTGCAGTGACCCTGAGGACAGAGATAAACCTCCAAGTGGTCTCAAGGACCCTCTAAAAGGATGCAAATGACTAGCTGCCTGCAAGGGATATAAATCCTTCTATCCTCCCCCATCCAGTCAGAGCGGAAGAAGCTTCTTGGGCGAGAAGCGAAACATCTTTGGAGAAAATCAAGAAAGTCCATCTGCCTCTTGAAAAATAAGCATCTTGGGGACAGTTCTCCAGTCTGCCTTATTCTTATTCTTTTTCCAGGGAAGCAAAAGACTTTGGCCGGGTGATCAGGCTGATCTCATGAAGGGTTTTAATCATGAATTGTTTATTGTCGCCCTTTTCCTTATTCTATTTGAAGGAACAGAAGGAGCTGACTCATAGATCAGGGCAGAACAAGCTGCTGATCTGCACTGGCGGGAAAAAGGGGTAGAAGAATTTCTATCAGCCTCCAAGAATCAAACACCAGCCTTTCCTCTGTGATTTAATGTTACTGCATCTTTTGGTCTCATTTCAAAACATAAATTTTCCTGGCATGGACTTCCCAGGTCTCCCTCTTTCCATCAGGCTGTTCTCTATTTCGACAAACGTCTTCTATTAATAGTTTTCTTTGGGTGGCTATTAAACACAGAGAAGTTTTGATCAAGAACAAGGAAAGTCTCTCTCTTTCTCTCTCTCTTTCTTTCTCTCTCTCTCTTTCTTTCTCTCTCTCTCTCTTTCTCTTTCTCTTTCTCTCTCTTTCTCTCTCTCTCACTCTCTCTCGTTCTCTTTCTCTTTCTTTCTCTCTCTCTCATTCTCTCTCATTCTTTCTATCTCATTCTCTCTCTCTCTCTCTTGTTCTCTCTCTTTCTCTCTCTCTATCTCATTCTCTCTCTCATTCTCATTCTCTCTCGCGCGTTCTCTCTTTCTCTTTCTCTCTCTTTCTCTTTCTCTTTCTCTCTCTTTCTCTCTCTCTCACTCTCTCTTGTTCTCTTTCTTTCTTTCTCTCACTCGCTCGTTCTCTCTCTCTCTCATTCTCTCTCTCATTCTTTCTATCTCATTCTCTCTCTCTCATTCTCTCTCTCTCTCCTTCTTTCTCTCTCTCTCTCATTCTCTCTCTCTCTCTCTCCCTCTCTCTCTCCCTCTCTCTCCCTATTACCTAAAGATTTTGGAACTTCTTAAACTGCAAGCAGACTCATAGCTAGAACAAGGAAATTTTTGTGCCCAGGTCTCTTCCGCAGTAATCCAAAGAATAATTGGAGTGTTTCATCTCACCATCTATCAAACCTCAAAAGGCTTTGCCAAGCTACTAATTTTTATGGCTTCTTTAACAGGCTGTGCCAAAGCTTTCTTGACTTGCCACCAAGTCACACAGGAGTCCAAATAATAGTTACTGCTAAGACAGATTTCTCATGGTTTAAAAATGATATGCCATCCATCAAAACCAAGTTAATGGGGCAGCAATGCTTTTAAAAACCAGGCAAGCACTCGGAATTCATGTCTCTAGACACATCCTGTTCCTGATACGATTCTCAGATGGTCATTCCAGAAAGGTACACATCCACCTGCTTTATCAGTTCTGCTTGAGTTTATTGCTGGCATAAAATACTCACAAAAAGAACCAAGAATGCTCCCCTTCCCTCTGGGGTACACTTCTGTTCCAATCTCCACAGAGATAATATTACTAAGACAGAATGAGGTAGGAGGAACAGGTGAAATGAGAAACT